ATTAATTTGGTAATGTGTTTATATATAAACCATTTAATAATTTACCATGAATGGCAGCCAAATTTGTATCCACAAATAAAGAAACTAAATATGCTTCTGCACCCTGATATAAATCATACAATCATTATCATTAAAATAACACGTATATGTAAGTAAATATATACAGTCAGACCTCCATAAGTGCACCCTCCATAAATGCACACTATGTTTCAGTCCTGACCTCAGGACTTAGTGATAAATGTACACCCTCCATACTCTGCACTGCACGGTATTTTTTCAGTCCGCTCATATGAAAACTCTCTCCATAAATGCACCCCACGTGACCAATGTATAAAATTCATCGTGTAACTAGGATAAATTTAGAAATCATCAACATAAATTTTTGATTTAATTGGATAATTTCCATATAACACAATCCGAATTTTGTAAAGAAATTTATAACAACAACAAATAAAGGTTCAAAATTTTTGTTATTTTACAATTTTTGTAATTTATAATAAATTATATATTTTTATTTATTGTTTTGTATTTTTACAACGAAATTATTTATCAATTATAGCTTTGTAATTATTCAACGGAAATATTTGTACATAAATTTAAATAAAATTAATCAATCCTTTATCAAATATTGTCTATGAGGTTCCAGAGGACAATAAAATTATTGAAGAACTCGCAGAAATATATCAAAATAATATGAATGTACCTCCTGATGATTTTGATGTAGACAATGATAGTGATGAACAACCAACAATAAGCCATAAGGAAGCATCAAAAAGTCTTGAAGCTGTACATGCATTTTTATTACAGCAAGAAAATGCTAGCAAACAAATAAAATTGGTTAATAAAATCGAAAGATATCTCAATGTAAAAAAAATAAATTCATCAAAACAAACTACAATGGATGGTTATTTTAATAATAATTTTTTTAAAAAAAATTGTGTAACACGTGCAACCAATGAAATTGCTTCTCTCTATAAATGCACACCATCCATAAATGCACGCTGTCCCTCAGTCCCAAGGGGGTTGCACTTATGGAGGTCTGACTGTACTCATTTCTTTAATGACAAAATCAAGATTGCAAAGTTGTTAAAAGTGATTATCAATGTAATTATTAGGAAGTATTGTGGAAGAAGTACATTTTAGAATACAATAAAGGTTTATGGGTTACAAGTGTATTGTAAGTAACTGTTAATTTAAATATTTAATTGTATAAGGAATTTTGTTAATTCTATTTATTTTTTACAGTTAATGAAATAATAATATATGAGATGGGCAATTCCATTTCATGGTTTATATATTTTTCATGAAATTATATGTACAAAAATACCAAATAATAGCATTGAAGTTGGTATGATGTCATGTTGTGTACCCATAATGTTAAAATTCAAGGTTTGACTTTTATTTTGTGCAAAAATTTATTTGTTTTTGTTTATTTTCTTTATGAGTTTTAAGCATATGCATTATTATAGGAATTAATAATGGAAAGGATGATTCACTTGAAAGAATACATTACAAGTGTTTGTACTGCAACTCCAACTGAAGATAAGAACATGCCATTGTTCATAACAAGAATTATCCCAAGAGAAAAATCCACCAAGAAAAAAAAAATTAAATAATTATGTTGTTTAATAGTAAATTGACAACTAAGCATTGTTGTTAAAATTTGTTGGATCCAATTTTTCATTGATGAACAATATTTTTATTCTGTAGTTATTTTAGATATGCATATTAATTCTTTTAAATAATATCGATAACAAATACATACACATGTATATGCAAAATTCAAATAACAAGTTGTAAGCTCAAAACTTTTTCTTTAAAAAAAAAAAGTCTTGGTTAGATCCATGCATAAAATAATGATTCTCCACAATATTTAACTGATAATTATGAAAAAATATATATATTGAAAATAAATGAAACAACGTTTATTTACCAAGCTCTTAAGATGTGTTAAAACATTGTATCTTAAAATAACTAAAGATGGGAATCACAATTAACCACAATTCAGTTTTCATATTGCCACAACTGTAATTGCAATTCAAAATTTACATGCCGCAATTAGTTGCAACTAGTTGAGAGCCATATTTAAAAATAACTCTAAGGTTGCTGTTGGCAACTTTTTCTAAAAAATTTCGAAAATTAAATTTGTCTTTTAAACATCATTTCATTATCAGAGTATTATACATACCATTCATTCAACAGACATTTTCTTATTAATGCATAATATCAACTTGCTTAATAAACTTTATTGATAATGACTAAATTTTGATCCCTGGAATTCTTGGCAAATACCAATGTTCACTTTGTCTGATTTTGTTGCAGTATACCCCATATAAAAAAAAATCCAAAAATCCTCCCATATGAATAAAATTTGAAGAACAGTTTTTATTTGATCATTAGATTATTGATTAAAATTACACATGAAGTTAAGAAATTTACAACATTATTTATACATATTAATAGTTCAATCATCTAGTTCCCTGATTCCTGAGAACTCTTAATTGAAAATTCCTTAAAAATAAACATGACCTTTCTTTTAAGAATAATTCCAAGCTCTTTTAAAGTAAATTCTCTCTTTAAATAGAATTTTAGAATTAAAGAAATGTTACAATTTAGAATGCTAGAATAATCTTTCTCAATAGTCTCTGTGAGTTAGATTCTTGAAATGTATAATTAATATCTCTCTGTGTTGTTCTGATTTTCTTTTCATGCAACTTATCATAAATCTTTTCCAATTTATTTTCAAATTTTCTGTTATCCTTAAATTACTATTTCACAGTATATAATCCAAGTAGATATTGATTGCTGACATGGTAATTCGTATTGAGGGTTAAGTTAAAAGTTTTTACTTTTGGATCATCTTTTTTATATGGGTTAACAATTTCAAAGTTTAATGTTGTTTGGTAAAGTTATTGTTGATAAGGATTTCTATGTTTATTCTCAAGTGACATTTTATTGTGCCGATTCCCAGTGTTTTTACCAAACCTAACTTTTACACAAAGTTCACATTGGGAAGAACCATTATCAAATATTTACAAATGTTATGTTGTTGAAGATGATATTCTTGAGGTTGCCGAGGTTAATTGAACATCATCATTATTTGTCAATAACAAAAACAAAAGGTTGTGATTCAATTTGATTGTAATTCGTCAATGACTTCAAAACCATTTCGACATTTTGTTGGAAAAATTACAAGTATTTTTGAGAACTTTAAAATTTCGTTACACGAGGGCCCTTTGTCTAAAACGGTTGGTCTGGGACTTTTTGGGACCCAGTCCCAAAGGACCATAGTGGAGGTTTGTTTTGATTGGCCAAATATATTGTGATCTAGAATTTGTCGCTGAATTTGCTCTAATAAAATAAATGATAAATCAATAAATAATCTTTATTAACTTGTACCAAAATTACTAATCGCGTTTCAATGAATATGGTTTTATATTTTAAAAACTCGTTATGATGCAAATTTAATTATAAAAGTGGCTTATTATTATAAGGAACCAACCACCATCAAATACTTGATCTAACTTGATCTGGAGATTTTAAAAAGTTGGCGAAAGTATAAAGAAAATATTAGTAATAAAAAATATTATTTTTTTATACAACGGGGTGAGTTGTCATATGATCGATTGAATTTTCATATACCTATTTAATTCTTTGAAACACCAATCATTGAAATATCAAAATTAAAATTCAAATTAGTCGATTAATTTAAATTGGCTAACTCCATGATTATAAAAAGAAAAAAATGCCTTTCAATAAATTTTGTGAGGCTGAAAATTTGGAGATTTCCTAATTAAATGAGAATTTTTAGTTGGAAACTATAATTTTAAAACTAAACCATTGTTTCCATAAATTCAATAGATCCTTCAAATAATTGTAATTGTGGCAAAAAGAATATGTGCAATTAATACTTTCTCTTTATAGTATATAGTATATGTAAATTGTGAAACAAGCTTTTATAATTCGTTAGATGCAGATGTATCTTTAGAGGGTCTGTCATGCAAAGAAGAGTTTTAGTTATATATGTGGAGTACACAAATTACAAATCATAAACTTTTTTTGCCGGGAATCTTTATTATTATTTTATTGGAGAGTATAGTACCTTTATATGCGCTTTACTCGATTAAATAGGACTTAAATTTCAAAAGTTCTTGATGTTTAGAAGCCATGTAATGGATTAATCAGTGCCACTTCTTTAACGTCACAGACCAGGCAGGATGTAAGATATAAGTGAAAGAATGAAATTCCTTTGCATGTTATGAAGATGATGGGTGGTGATGATTATATTAAAAAAAAAAAAAAATGGTTAGTATTAAAATTAATGGTTTCACATTTTTCACATTTTTTTTTAAAAAATTAATTTTCTCTCCACACATAAATCTCATCCATACATTAGTAAGCAAAGGCTATACCTAAAACTTACTAGTAGTAAGCAGCAGAGTGGAACGGCAAAAAATTTAATTAAATATATTATTATTATTTGATATTAAAGTTTTATTGTTGTTATTGTTCCATTATCTATTAATCAATTAATCTAGGTATGAATTGATGATATATGAACATTAATGTGAAATTATTTATATAATACTTTCATACTTCAGGCGTGTTACAGTATAAGTGTACTACTGGTCGCACAACACTGCTTACATAAATATTATGAATATTATGCAAGATTAAAATCTTGCAGTAATGTTTTTTTAAAGAAAACATGTATTAAAAAGTATTGTATTTATTAATTATTAAATAGTTAGTTATAAATTAAATTAAATTAAATTAATAATAAGAAATTTAAAAAATTATTATAATTATAACGTTACTTGAAAATAAAGGTATTAAAATAAAAAGAATTTATAGTTATAATTAATTAAATGATGGCAGAGTTATGTATAATAAAAATCAATGAAATTACATTTTTATTTTGTCACACACACTCTCTTTACAGGATTGCTCATTTTCTAAAACGCGCAATCAAATACTCACATCATGCATGCCGTATCACATCATATCGAAAAACTAATTGGTATCAAATCCTCATTATTTTGAGATGCGACTATTACCGGCTCAACAATTGTAGTCGGTGGTGAATTACAAGGCGATGATGAACAATAATCAGGAGGTGGTAATTGATGATGTTGATGATGGCGGCCATTTGATAACTGGTTCCAAATTAAAAAGTGATCAGTGTCCCAATAATTTGTAGAAGTTGGATCTAATGATGATGATGACGATGATGTGGAATTCCCATTGCAATTATTATTATTGCAAGATAATATTGTATTATATGTTTCTGGATTTGGATTTGTAATATTAGCAGTTGTAATTGGTAATTGATTAATTGATGAAGTGATTAATCCCCCATCAATTGTATTGGTGAATTCAAAATGATGATTAGTTAATGAAGATGTCATTGGATCATGATCATGTGATTGTTGATGTGCAAGATGGTGATGATTTTGAAGTTGTGGTGATGATGGCGATGATGGCATTAAATATAAAGAATTATGTTCATTAAATTGTGGTGATGGTGATGAAGTTGACGACGACGACGACGAATTTGATGACGATATTGATGATATTGATGCTTGATTATTATTATTATTATTATTATTATTATTATTATTATCATTATTATTATTATTATAATTATTATTATTATTATAATTATTATTATTGTTATTATTATTATTACCATTAAAATATGTAAAATTAATGTTACTATTATCACCATCACATAATGAGTTTGATAAATGTTGACTTATTATTATGTCTGAATTTATTGATGATAATCTGTTTTTTAATTGTGATGATGGATAAGTAGTAGAAGGTGACAGTGGTTGTTTTCTCAAATTATTTATATTATTATTTATTGTATTGATTGTAGTTGCATTGGTTAAGTTGTTGGCAGTGACTGGTACACCACCATTAAACATTAAACCTAATGATTGTTGAGCCGAGAATGCCACCTCCAACCCATGTACTTTATCACGTAATTCTCGTGCAGAACTATGATCTACGCAAATTTTTAAAACGTTCAATGTCCTTAATAAATTATCATGTGCAGGTTTTGAAAATCTTAAATCAGGAGAAGACATGTTGACAAGATGAATCATTGATGATGCCACCAAACAATAAACACCATAATTTCCACCACGAAGAGTGTATTGAAATACTTGTGGAGACCAACGTTCTAACATTACAGATGCAAGTTGTGAAGCATTATTGGCAGCATTTGTACAAATAACTAAATGATCTGGTGACGATGAATTGGAATTGGAATTGGAATTGGAATTGGAATTGGAACGATTATTTTCCATTTTAGTAATAAAGGGTCTATGGAGTAAAATTATAACAGTGTAATATAAAAGATTTAAAAAGCCTGCAAAATGTGTCAAGGGATTTTGTAATAAAACATTTTGTTGATAATTTTCACCAATATTTTGTTGTTGTTGTTGTTGTTGTTGTTGTTGTTGTTGTAAATGTTGGCATTTAAGTCTTTGAGGTAAAGCAGCCATCCAAGCATCTATTGCATTATCAAGAATTGATAATTTTGGATTTGAACTCCATGATTGTTGTAATATTGGGGAACATCCAGATCCAGCTGGTGATATGAATGACATAACACTGGCAAGAATTTTTGTTAATCTTACAAGATGAATAAAATCCGTTTGTAATTGAAATTCTTGTTCATCATCATAATGTTCCTTTCTCGGAAGTTCGATGTCTGCATTTGATAATGAAACTATAGCACTTCTACCTATAAAATAATTGGTTAATTGATTATTAAAAGTTTTTTTTTTTTTATTTAATTAATTAAGAATGTTATTTATTGTTACCTTGTGCACCACTCATAAATTGATCGAATAAGAAACAGGCTTGCCATACTCTTTTACGAACAATCGCATCTTCTGCTGATAAGCGTAAATTCCATTCATCGTAATTTTTATTTAAGCCTAACTCTTCTGCCATACGAATTATAGAACCAAAACTTAACCAAGATCTAAAGAAAAAACCTGGTTTCTGGGTATTTTCTTGAAATTTCATCATTAAAAGTTGTGCTTGGATCGTTGATAATCTTGGTGCGTCCAAAAAATCATCAAGCAATTCTGTTATTATTATTATTATTATTATTTGATTAAGTTTGGAGCGGGGTTATTAGTTTAAATTTTATTTATCAAATATACAATTTATAGTATGCATATATATATACCCTTAGCACGATTAAAATAAGAAAATCCGGCAGTTTCAGGTTTCATTGGATCCAAACGTACTCTAACGTCATCAGAAAATCTTGAACCCATAGCAAAAACTGCATAAAGCAGCAGAGGAGAAATTGGGTTTGTTTTATCGTGGAGTCGACGTAGAAAATTTGCTTTGTGTATAATTGGTAGATAAGGATGAACGTGATTGAAGTAGAGGTCAACTAGATGGGAAACCAGATCGGAGAAATTGTTATCATCGTTTGATAAGTCAGGAATTTGATGACATGATAATAATGGTGGTTCGGATAGGACAAATAAAGTGGTTTGAAATGGTATAGTGGTGTTGGCGATGGTGGGAAAAGAGTCTTCTTTAGGTATTTTTCCTTCCATTGCGTAAATATAATTGGCACGACCGTTATTTTCGATTTTCATGTGTCCCAAGATATCTGTCAGAGAGTCAATATAATCGACGTTTTTTACTATTTTTAGAAAATATATGTGTTTTTGGATAAGAGGTTGGTGATGAGGCCAATCTTTTTTTATATTTTAACGGAAGTTTGGAACTATACTATAATACCACTGTTACTAATATGCTAGCTAATATTAATATTAATAAAGATACTACTTAAAAGCTAACATGTAATAATTTTTAGGCAAGCAAAGGGATTGAAGTATAAAAGGAAAGAACGATATTACACTAACCAACCAATTAACCAACAAATAAAATATAAATAATGTAATTACCTCTTTTTTGTTTTGTAATATCATCTTCGTCAAGTTTTTGTAAAAGACTTTCGGACCTTTGTAATCTTTCATTCATTTGTTCCAATTCAGTTTTTGGAGCAGCTCTTCTCATAGCCATATTTGAGAAGACACATTCAATCTTTAATTTCCTGCAACTTGTGCAAGGAATTTGTGAGCCGCCGGAACCTCCATCACATTTAACCTTTCTTCTGCGACAAGATTCACAAGCGCGCGTCACCTTTAATCTTTTATATCTGTGCAAATCGTCAACAAAAACATATTCCATCATTTTTTGTGTTTTAGAAAATTTTATTTAAAACCAAAAAAATATAGATATGAATAAATGGATAATGGTTGTATGATAAATAACTTTTATTTTCTGATGAAGCGAGGATAAAAAAAAAACATAAATATTTGTTTGTTTGAAATAATAATAAAATAAAAAAAATATTAATAAAATTATTCCTTTTATTTATTATTTTTTTTTTTTTTAAACGTTAAGTGGAGCCGGTTTTTTTTTTTTGAACGTTAAATGGAGCCGGTTTTTTTTTTAAACGTTATTTTTTTATATAATTTAATTCATATAATTCATATATATATATTTATCTTAAAGTAAAACAAAATAAAATTCAAAGTATTTAATTATTATATACATATGCATTTTATTTTAATCTGCATAATAACCAACAACATATCTACTAATAATGTGCACGCGTGTGTAAAATAATGCAATTAAACTTATATATAAGTATATGAAGTTTAATTATTAGTTTAAACCGAATATGAATTCATTTATCAGATATTTATTACTTAATATTATTATATAATATTTAAAAAAACTATATAAATAAATTTATGTAACGTGATTATTAAAATAAAATTAGAATACCATATTAACTAAATAAAGAAAACGTTAAGGCAAATTAGGAATTTGTATTTGATGAATAGAAGATTTAAAGTGAAGTGATGATAGTATATGATTAATTTTTTGAATGAAGAAATACTATTACAAAATTCATTATTTTGAACGGATTTTCTTGCGCATGTTGTGTCACGTAATTAATTTTTTTATATACAAATATACAAACAACGTTAACATAATTGTAAATCGATCATCCCACTAAAATAAAATAATAAATGATTTGTTTCAAACAACAAAGAAAATAAATTTATTTAATTATTTAATTTTAATATCTTTTCTCTTCGTTATAATCAAAATTAAGACTATATCATCGTAATAATCCTTGTAGAAGCGTGTGGAAGTGTGTGTGTGACCCAAGAAATTAGTCAGGATCAATACTAATTACTACTATCATTTATTATTTTTTATTCATCCACATTCTCTGTCTCATACAACGCAATAAATCCTTCGATTATTTATCAAAGTCATCAATTAATTCGATTATCCATTCATTTATCCATTCATTCGTTAATTAATTAATTCATTCATTCACTTTCTCCCAGAAATCATTAATTCTATCTTCTAAAATTTAATTCCATTTACATTATTATTAACTTTCCCCATTTTAAGATTGTTATAACTTCCGAAAAATATAAAACTCAAGCAAATTATTATTATAATATTAAATCCAATTAATTAAAGTTCATTGACATACCCCTTCATCCTGCAAACACTAAATATAATTATAATTATTTCCTAAATGAATACATTATTACGCAAACATTTGAGCTCCCACCTATAATAACACGCTTACATATATTAATATAATATTATTATCTAACGTAAATTTATGCATTGAATTTCTTTAAAGATTTTCTAATCGAAGAAAACCATTGTTTTAAAAAGTTTAATAATAGATTTTATTAACAAACAAAAAAAAAACAAAACAAAACTAAAACTATTTTAATTTAATTGATCTTCAAAGTTTTTTAAATATTTGTTCTCATAAAATAAATTCTTTCCTGTCACAACAAGTTGACTTTATAGTATTTTCTTTTTGATCTTATAATTTTTACTATACACGCATTTTCTAATTATAAAAATCATTTATTGTTTTATTATGGAGATATCTAATAATAATAATCACAATCATTTATCATTATCGTCATCATAATCATAATCATAATTATCATATACTGCTTATTTCCCCACACAGAAAGTTATATGCATCATGTGAAATGTGAATGAAATGTTTATTCTCTGCATGTTACACGGGGTTGTGATCTTCAACGTTAATGTATTATACATTTATGACCATTTTTATAGATGATCTACCAAAAAAATCATGCTTTCCACACTTTTTTTTTTTCTGCCAGAATGATAATAATAATGAATTGACATGACATGATTGGTTCTGTAGAATTATATATATAATATTATAATTGAGTAAATGTATCACCAATATGATTAATGTGACAAAGATTTTGTTTTTAATTCATAAATGTTCACCTGAAATCTTTTTCCCCTTATTATTATCAATTCCTTAATAATTTTTTCATAATCAAACAAACAATAAAAATAAAAACTTTTATTATAAATGAAGAATTTGGATTGGTTCTAAAAGTATTGAATGATAATTTAATTTACTTGCAATCATGGTAAAGACTTTCTACAAGACTAAAGCAAGTTTGTCATCTCGTGATTTATGTGTGATTTATTCTTTCTCCCCTCATCCAATCATCCTTCCCCCAGTTATCTTTCCTCACACTCATGTTGTCTGTTTCTTTAAAAAATCTAACTAATAAGCGACCTATCATCAATCACTTTCATACTATTTCAAATTAAACACACATATTCGGCTGATAAGTAAAATCCGGGTCTTTTCTGGTTAATTCGAGTATCATGCCCTGCTCTCTGATTTAAAATATATATGTATATATATATAAATATATATTTGAAACATTTTATTATTATCTATATTTATATATATTAACGATGATGGTGTAAAGATTGAAAATAACCAAAATAATAAATCAGACGCCTAGACCACGTCATTTATTTATCTAAAAATCTAGATCGCAATTTTTGGGTCAATGGTTTATGTTTTGGTAAATTATCAAATAATGTGCACTATTTATTTATTTTATTGTCAAGATGATGTAATATAATAAAAAATTAACTGTCTTATTATGTAATTCATTACATACTTTATTTGTTGTTTTCTCGATTTTGTACTATTAAAAATGCACGTGAAATATTTTTTTGTACATATATATATATATACTCTTCTACGTTTAGTAAATAAAAACAAAAAATTGCATAATCATAAAGTTGTTTTTTTCCTCCGCATTTAATATTAATATTATGTTATGTTGCAATATGGCGTGTATGTGTAACGTATTGTTGGGGGGAGTTAATTCAACCATTCGAGTTTTTACGCGTAAAAAAAACTTTAATTACCTCTCTTCTTTAAATTAATTCTAAAAAAATTTTTTTTTAATTACTTTTTTTTTTTATAAAATTATTCTTTAATAAAAATACTCGTTAAATTGGGGAAGTGATTTTTTTTAAAAAATAAAGTTAAACGCGAAGGATGTAAAAATACATCACAAACGTCAACCCTGGGTGATGCCCAGGTTGAAATTTTAATGGAGATTTTTTCAACTATATAAAATATTCTCGTAACGTGATCGTGGCATATTCCCAAAAGCTAATTCATTTTCATTCTATTTTTTTTTTTCAAAGATGTTTGTGTTGCACATAGTATTAGTGTAACAGATGCTTTTATAATAGCCAATAACATCTCTACAACGTGATATGTCATCATTAATTAGAACCCTTTTATTTTTATTTTTGCGTTTTTGCATTTTTATTTGTACCTTTTTTCTTTGTTTATAAACAATAAATAATTATTTTCTTTCTAATTATTCACTAACGTACCACACACACACACATACTATTATTATTATTATCATCATTCCTTCCCCAAAATTAATGCTTTAATTACACCATATTTACCATCTCTGACAATTTCGAAAGCTTTCAATGCGTCCTCAAATTTGAATCGATGAGTAATCAAAGGTTTCAAATCGATCAATCCAGCTGTTACCATATCGATTGCTTTCTTATACGTATTACAATATCTAAATGTCCCTTTTATTGTAATTTCTCTAACTCCAATATCTGTAATCGGAATGGTGACTTTGTCATTACCCATTCCGACTTGGACAAATGTTCCGCCTGATTTAGTCATCTAGAAAAAAGAAAGAATATTCATTGTCATTATAATAATAGTTACAACAATAACAATAATAATAATAATAAATAATAAATAATAATAATAATAATAATAATAATAATAATAATAATAATAATAATAATAATAATAATAATAATAATATTTATTGCTTACAAATATTCCAGTTTGAATTGAAGTTTCAGCTCCTGAACATTCAAATACCACATCTGCTTGTTCAACACCTCCAAAATCAACCAAATCTTTAGAATATTTTTTCCAATAATCAATATTGTTGCTATTTTTAATATTATTATCATCAATTAAAATGGTTTGATTAGCTATATAATTCTTGGCAAAGTTTAACCTATCTTGATTTATATCAAACATTGTAATTTTTACAGATCCTGAAGCTTTTGCAACAGCTGCTGTCAATAATCCAACAGGTCCTGCTCCAAATATTATTACAGATTGTCCAACTCGCAAATCTGCTTGTTTACAAGCATGTACTCCCACAGATAATGGTTCTATAAGTGCTGCTGCCTCTTCCAAATTTACATTTTCATCATTTTCTATCAATTTCACACAAAAATCTTCAGCAGTACAATAATATTGACATAATGTACCATCATATGGTGGAGTTGCTGCAAATTTCATATCTTTACACAAATTATAACTTCCATTTTTACAAAATTCACAAGTATGGCATGGTACTCCTGGTTCAATTGCTACGCTATCACCAACCTTTAAAATTTTACAATCTTTTCCTACTTTTGTAACTTTTCCACATGATTCATGTCCTAGTACCATTGGTTCTTTAACTATCCAATTTCCTATATGTCCGTGCGACCAATAATGAACTATATTATATATATGAAGATAAAATATGATGTGATAAGTGGTAATGATTATTTAATTATTTTATACACTTTTACACACGTAATATATTAAATTACCATCAGAACCACAAATCCCAGTTGCTTTTATTGATACTTCTACTTCATTGGGTTTTGGTTCAATTCTTTTTCTATTCTCTAATTTAATGTCTCCTATACCATAAAGTACCCAAGAAAGATTGTTGTTATTATCATCAGACATAATATTTAAAAAAAAATTGGTGCTGATTAATCATGTGATAGCCCCTAAAAAAAATAATAAATAGATCATTTTTATAAAAAAATTATTCAAGATGTCGTTAAATACTTCTTCATTTTTTGATACTACTAATGCTAACCAAGAAAAAAATCCTTTACATAATTCACAAATACAAAACATTCCTTCTTCTTTCTCTCCTCTTGTGAATATAAAAAAAAGTCATAAACACCATCATCATCATCATCATCATCGTCATCATCGTCATCATGTATCGACGACAACAACAACGACAACGACACATTCGAAATCTTCTTCTCGTCATCGTCATAAAGAAAAAAAACGAAAAGAAAATTTATTTGTTAATTTAGATCTTTTTTATTCTTCTAATTATGAGATATCTTTTGAAGAACTTCGAGCAAAAACTTTAGGATTGTTACCATTAGGAAAAGATGAAAAAGATCAAGTAATTGTTCATAATAATAATTATGATGATGACGATATTATGAAAACAATTTTCACCGGCAAAGAAATTGAAAAATCAAAAGAAAATTCCAATAAAAAAATAATTGTTACTAAACAAAGTTTGGAATTTAATAAAATGTCATCTAGTGGTATAAATAGAGAGTATAATATATATATATATATATATATATATTTATCCTCATTATTATTATTTCTAGTGTATAAATTTAATATTTATTTTATTGATTAATTCATATTAGACATAAAGTCTAAAGAAATCATCGGAACGATAATACCTTCTACAACTAAAACTAAAATAAACAACAATTTAGAATTATCAGATATGATGGAAATGTTCTTATCTTATGAAAAATTTCATGAATATAATAACAATGATAATAATAATAAATCAATAAAAAATGATAACATAATACAAAAAACAAATCTGAAGCAATCAAAAACCACTATATTCAAAAACATTAATAACGATAATAGAATTTCCTCTTGTCAGTATAACAATTACAATCACAATCATGAGAATGGTAGTCCATCTGTTTCTGCCGCTAGCACATTTCATCATTATTGTCATCAATCTACTACTACTGTTGCTACTAAAATAATAATGGATGAAAAGGACATCAAATGCAACAAAAACTATAACAATAAATATTTTAATCTAATTACTTCACCTTCACTAAAAAACTTCAACGAAAAAAAAGTCAACACAAATAAATTATTACTATTTCCAATTCCATCAAATCCTTGTAAACCTTTAAATCAAAATCTAATAGAAAAGATTTTGAATTCATTAAACAATTTTTTGAATGATTATCCTGAATACCATGATCTAAGAAACCAGAATTCAAATCAACATGAAAAAATCTTACGAATTTTACGACAGAATAAACCTCAATCTCGTCATGCTATTAATAATATCAATGATAACACAACAACAACAGGATGTTATTCATCAGAAATTGATGATAATTCAATTCAAATTTTAGATAAAACTTTTATAGTTTGTAATAAAATTGGTGAGGGTTCATATGGAAAAGTGTATCGTGTTCTTGATAAAAAAAAATTTATTGAAAGTGGCATCAATATTAATAACAAAAAAAACAATAATGTTAATGCCTCTATAGCATTGAAAATTCAAATACCACCTAGTTCTTGGGAATTCTACATAATTAAACAATTACATCAAAGACTCTTATCAACAACAGCAGCAGTAACAACAGTTAATTCAATAATAAAAGTTTTTTCATTATGTTATTATAAAAATGAAAGTTACTTATTGACAGAATATTGCAATCATGGATCATTATTAGATCTTATCAACAACTTAAAAAAAGATAATTCACAAATAGATGAAATTCTGGTAATTTTTTTTACAATAGAACTACTCAAGGTGATTGAATCAATTCATAAAGTTGGGATAATACATTGTGATATAAAGGTTGACAATTGTCTTTTGAGATTAGAATCATTGTCATCAGAAGATAATAATAATAGCAACAAATGGGATTCACAATATAATCCATTTGGTGAAAATGGTTGGTCAAAAAAAGGAATAAAATTGATTGACTTTGGACGTTCAATTGATGTTACATTGTTCCCACCCAATATGAAATTTATTGCAGATTGGAAGACTGATGAAGAAGATTGTGTTGAAATGCGTGAAGGAAGACCATGGAAATGGCAAGCTGATTATTATGGATTAGCTGGTGTGATATATTGTATGCTACATAATGAATACTTACAAGTCACTCAAACTCACATAAATAATGATGGTTATGATTGTAATATTGATAATAGTAATAGTAACAAGTCATCATCATCATCATCATCATCATCATCACTATCAAAAAAAATACGATATAGGCCAATGTTGCCATTCAAAAGATATTGGCAAGTGGATTTATGGAAAAGATTATTTGATATTTTATTAAATTCTTCTTCATTGCTAAGATCCATTGATAATGATGATGGTGATTTGTTGTTAGAATTGAAAGAAATTCGGAAAGAATTTGAAAATTATTTGGTAGAGAATTGTGAAAAATCTGGAAAAAGTCTTAAAAGTTTATTGAAAAAATTAGAAGTGAAAGCCAATACATAAAAAATATAATCATATGAATAATAATTAATTGAAAATGTTTTCGTGCTCATTTCTAATGGGTTTTTGAATATATGGGCACAATTAAATAGAAAGGTGAATCCTTATTTATTTATTTATTGGTTACCTAATAAGCCACAACTAAGTATGGGATAAAACATATTAATATCTAAAACAACCCATAAAAATGCCTTTTTTCCACCAATCAATTTGCTACATTGTTTTCTTTTTTTTATTTTGAGAAAGAAAGTTTTAATTAATAAGCAGGATAAATACTTTATTATGGAATAAATTTATAGATTTATTATTTATTTGGTTATTATAGTTGTGATATTAAATATCTTGAGAAATGAAAATATATTTAATAGTGATATTATATAAAGGTAATAGCTTCTCACAATTATCATATCTTTGGATTTTTTTTTCATTTGAATTTGGATGTAAAATATGCACACTAAAAAAATGTAATTTTTAATAATCCACAATGGCAGTGTTATTTATTTCTTGCCTTTTCAAATCAATGTTTTCATTTTTTTATAGCATTAACAAGTTGAAGTGATAGATGTACTTATCAATATATCATATAATATATTTATTAATATTAAAAAATCAAATTTAACACATGTATCTGACTGAATCATTTAAATTAGAGGCTTGCCTCGTCCTATTGATCAGATCTAATAAATTAAATTAATGAATGCCTGGTTTCTCTTCCTTGTCACTTGCATGTTCAATTAATATTTGGTTAAAAATTAAAAAAAAAAGATCGGCAAAAATTTTATTTTTAAAAACTTAATTAGATTTTCCCGATAAAAATAGGTTGACTATAAAAAAAAACTTTTGTTAATAAATATAACAAAAATAAAAATGGAAGATCTTGACGAAATTCAAAAGCTCGAATACCTTTCAATGGTATCAAAAATTACCAGTGAAATATTTAATCATACTGGTTTAAATGATAAAATTCTAGGCAAGTTATTTTTTTTAATTAATCTTTAAAAATAATATATATTTATTCATTTATACTCTCTTCTAAACACAAAAATACTTTACTATTATTATTATAGCTGAATTTATAATTAATTTACACGAACAAAATCAAATTCTACCAAAATTTCAAAAGGCTTTGAAAGATGCAGATGCAGATTTCCAAGAATCTTTTATTACCACTCTGGATCGTTTGATCCGAAAAATGAATCCAAAATATAAATCTAAGGAA